AGATGGGCACGGTGTGCGACACGCCATCGCCACTGTCCTGCATGAGTCGTCCGTATCACCACGAAGGAGGTGGATGTGGAGCTGGAGGCAGTTGAGATGTCATTGGGGATGGGGTCAGGGTGAATAGCCAGGTGAAAGAGAAATTCAAAAGCCAACCCCCTGATTCAGACAGGAGCTGCTATCAAGCCTTTCATCTCTGTCCCACGGCTGTGGCGCGTACAACTAGACCACTACCTGGTATTTGTAATCGGACATGCAAGACACGCCTCAACCTCTTCCCACACAACTGCAGTACCAAACCAACCCTACCCGCAACCCCGAAGCCTTTGAAAAGAGGGCCTGAGCGTCCTTGAAATCAACATCCCCAACAACAGAACCAGTATGAAGGCAGAACAGAAAAACAAGCTGCAATCGCCCCTGGGGGGTTTTGCGCACGGGTCATTAGATTTAGCCTGACTCAGGGTATGAAGTTTTGGATCGGAATTGCTAGGACGTGTTCTTGGAACCCTAAACTCGAAGCTGCATTGCAGCCCTTAAGAAGCCATATACAACCAGCTGCAAACTGCATCGGTCCATGACGATGCCGGTGGTTCGGCCGGAGGCATACAGCGACAGGACCGCCTGGATTGCCACATACATGGCCGGGACCTGAGAAGCACCGATCCCGGAACAATCTTCGTTCTGATCATGATTTTTCTGAGCCTAGAGAAATGCGATGAGGGGAGTTGGCATGGTTTTCGTACAATTGATGGGAGCTGTGGCAAGGCTAAAGCTTTTCCCAGCTCAACCATTTGGGGAATGCAAGTGTTGCAAGGACCGATTGTGCATTCCTGGATCTTGCTATCAGGACCCAAGGAGGTTCAGAGGCTCATTTCTCCAATAACGGTCCGCAGAATAAGCGATCTTAGCTACATAACGTCAGAATGCGTCCATTAATTTTGGGAACCCGACCCTACTTGCAGGTATGATGCAGGCTCAGTAAGCTCCTTCGACTCTGGGCCCCTGTTACTTCCAACACATGCTCGAGGCAGGGAACCTGGATTATTACTATATTTTTATTACTATTATCATTATTACTATTATTGTTGTTTTTATTGTTATTATTATTACTATTATGGGAATGGATGGTAAAGATTCTCATGGGGGTCATGTACAGAAGGATCGAGCACCTATAGCAATCATCTGGCATGTCTCAAGATTTTCTGGGGGTTGGGGCTCCCGGGCGATTCAGCATTTTGCAAACTAAGGGGCGTTGAAGGTCTCGAACATGATCTGCGTCATACGCTCGCGGTTAGCCTCACGCCAAATTCTGATCATAGACTTGCGAGTGATTTGCAGGGAATGGAGGAAGGGATGCCTGTAGTTCCCACTGAATCTCGTACAGTCAGTACGATAGCCCCATGTCTTATATCTTGATTCCCTACCAGCCACCAGTAAGTGAAGGGTTGGTAAAGTCAGTAATGAAAAGGCGACGTATAGCAACCAATGTAAAGATGCTGACGACGACCACCATCTTTTTCAATAGCTCCATCGATCTCCGCTTGCCTTACTTTGGCATGAGGAGACTTGCTTCCAACCGATCAGCCTGAATATTGGGCTCAGATCTCAGCTGTTTTGCGCGAGGATGAACTTGCACCGTGCAAGCCGCCCCAATCTGCCAAACACTATGCCAACCCTACACCTTGAACTTGCGAAGTCCAAGCCAAGCTCTGCAAGCTGTTGTCGCGCCTCACTTCTCAGAGCACTTCCAGCGCGTCTGTAGAACAGCTCCACTTTCATCCCACAACCCTACTCAAGCCTACAGTTTGAGCCATGGTCCCTTAAGTAGATAGAATATGGGGTATATGGGGATCTTATTATAATGTACCCAAATCCATATTATTCGATCTACTTCAGGGGAACTATAAACCCTAAACCCTGAACCGTTAACCCTCGACCAGGTCAACCCCCGCCTTGGGGTTCAGGGGGGCCTCTGTCAGAAGCACCGGGTGCTCCTCCGGTGCGACTCGCAGCTCGTTGTAGAAGGTGTGGTGCCAAATCTTCTCCTGAGGATCAAATGGTGGTTTCTTATGGTAGGGAACCCCAAAAAGGTGCCCTTAATTTTGGGGAAACCCCAACTCTGGATTTGAGACAGGTTGGAGGGATTGTTTGACAGTCCTTCAGAATCAACGGAGGCTTCTTATCCTCCGCTCGGAAGTATGCGGGCATGTAAGGACTTTTCTGAGTTTAGGGTTTTGTGAAGATGCCAGATGATGCGGGAGCACTCTAAATGAATACTTAGAGAAATCTCAGGGAGCGGGTGATGTCAGGTATTGTATTAATGTAAGCATTGTAGGGGCCAGTAGGCAAGGGTAGGTTTGCTGCCAGATTAAATCAAATAGAGCCTTTTCTGAAAGTTTAGGATAGTGCGGCTTGTTCCCGCGCTCGAATCCTTAGGGTTCCGCACTCCGGCTGGAGAAGGAGGTCTCGGATGGTCTCGAGTTTCAAAGCCTAAGGCATGTCAGGAGTTGGTCTAGTAACTCTTTCAGATACATTCAAACCCGCTGTATTTGTCAAGCTCCATGTTTGAGCCATGAACGGCCGAGGGTTTTGGGAGAGGGGTATGGAGCTACCTATATCATTTAGTTTTAATGTCACTCTGCATGGTCTTTCCAATTTGATTCTCCAGTATCCTATACCTTAACCCTGTTGGTAGAATAATCTACTAAGATCTAGGGGCCCGCTCCTAAAGTTCTTTGGGTTTCTCCGACCACAGGTTCTCGTGGCTTCAGGTCGTCGTTAGTTGAGACCTCCTACTAGAAAGACCCCGCAGATCCAACCATGGCTGCAAGCCTCAAAAAAAATTGGGTGCGGTTGAGGCTCCATGTCATCCCAGTTGGTGACGATGCCGTGCTCAATTGGGTACTTCAGGGTCAGCACACCTCACCGGTGTTGTAATATGCTTAGGCTTTTTGGTGTCTGGGCTGAGACGATGTAGAGGATGAGGATGAGCGCTTGGAAGGAAAGTAACAAGGTTAGCAAGGCGTGAGAAGCTACCGAACTGGAGCACGTGGGCACTCACACGTGAGGCAACGTTCATTAATCCCTGCCTGGCAGACCAGTTTCAGTTTCCGCTTCTGCGCCCGAGAATGCCGGAAGGCGCATAGAATCATTAGAAGAATATTATATACTTTCCACCTACGATGCCTTTCCTCTTCAACCAACTGCCACAAGAAGCGTGGCTTTCTGTTGTTGGATCCGGAAATCTGAAGGGGAGTACTGCGGAAATCAAGGTAATTCATGGTTGCTATTGCTGTTGTCTCGGCGGTTGGGCCCTTATGCGGCACGCCTCGCTTGGACTGGGCCTCATCGCCGACGTAGGAATCCTGCGCATCTCAGGCAAGAAGGCTGACCCATTGGTTAGGATTTCGGGTTCAGGCTTCGCAAAAAGAAGAAGATCTCACTGAGGCGTCTAATGGGCGACTACATTGTTGACGAGCAGGTGACCATGGGACAGAAAGATTCTTTTCAGAACTCCTGAAAGACATCAAAAGTGGTCCTTTGGTAGCAAAGCTTCTGGAAAATGGATTTCAACTGACATTTTGAGAACACAATATGGGAATTGCCAGATGGATGCCTCTGGCAGTTCGTATGTAGAGAACTCAGATGAGCTATGGTCTGGTATCCCCCTTTATAACCCCTATGATACTCCCCGAAAACACAATCCTCTATATAACACTTTTGAAGGAGTTAAGACTAGAGCTCCGATGACCGCGAAGCACATAAGAACTCTCAGAGAAATGCCTTTGCTCCTGCTCCTGGCAGCTTATCAGAAGTGGGAAGTGCAGCTTTTGGCTGCCAAGTAGGATTGTAGCAAGCCAGGCATGGAAGCCACAGATATTTTTTCCTGAAAGCCTGGTCACACGTGCTTTGGAGACAAACAAGCACCTCCATACCCAATTCCTGTATCCCTGAAAGAACCCCGGATCGAACAAAGGTGACATGTCTGGCCGATTCAGGATTTCAATCTTGCATGGACTCAGCCCGCAAGCTTGAGACTCCTTCTGGTCCATGCCCACCATGATGCCCGGCATCTTGGGGCGGCCCACGATGGAGGGGAAGACCGCGCGCGGAGCGTCGTCGCCCGCGAAGCCAGCCTTGCACATGCCGCTGCCGTTGTCCACCACCAACGCGGCAACCTCGCAAGTTCCGAAACAATTGTCCTTGAAAGCTTGGCTGATTGTGCCTGCAAGCCTGGCATAGCCTGGCTATGTTGGGGGCCTCGTGTCGGGTAGCCTTTTCGGAAAAGTCCTACTTGAGAGGTTGCTTCTGTTGGTGTTGATCATGTTACGAGGAAGCGTGGAGGCTGAGCTAGGGCAAGCCGCAAGCCCTATATACAAGAGATGTAATTAGATTGGGGATGGTGTTGGAAGCGGTTTCCGATGTTGCCGGGTTTTTGATGCCCGAAAGTCGTTTGGGAGTCGGTCTGGTTCGTCTCGGAAACCGATGTTTCAGTGCCATCTTTCTATGTCGAGGCAGTCTTGGGCTTAGGTTTCAGGATTGGGGCTTTTAGGGCTCAGGGTGTAGGGGAACAATGTCTGGGAATCCTTTGTTCAGGTCCAGTCGTGCAGCCCCGTCGCTTTGGTGGCTCTTCTAGGCTTGGGAGTTTGGAAGCCTTGGCAGCATCCTCAACCAGCAAAAGTTTCAGCATTTTCGAGGCATCTGAACAAAACCTAGGCAACTACTCAATACTATGCTATAATGCAGAATATATTATATGTAATATAGAACTTTAAAAAGTAATATAGTATCTATAATATATTATAGTGTATTATAGTATACTATAGTATAAACATGTCTCTGAAGTGGGGTACGTTCATCCCCCAACGTGCTTGCAGCCTGGTTCTCAGGAGCCCAGACGAAGACCCGGCACAAACCAAAAAAGTCTTGGCCTCTTCATCAGCATTGAACTCACTGGCGCTTAACGGAGTGGGAGCATGTAGGTGTTTCATTATAGTTCTGGTATATACAGGGATCATATTATAGGGTCCAATTGGGATTCGCACCCCCACTCCCCCTTAGCACCTGTACCTAAAGGAACCCGGCATCGTCCGTATACATGCGGATTGAAACCGAAAACGGTTGTTCTTAGATTATATAAACGCCGAAAGAATCCCTGCCATCCTTCTGCAATTCAAAGCCGAATCCCCCCCTTTTCTGCCCGCCAACCTCCTCGTCACCCATGGTTTCTAGAAGGATGGGATGAGAGCTGACGAGTCGCTGGCTGAGATGTCTCAGATTCTCGAGCCCAGGGCAGCAACAAAAGTAAAAGCAAGTTGTAAATGCTTAGTAGCAGTCGTTGTAGCAATGGTGGCACTAGCATGGCTTCTGGAAGATGCCATGATGATTGATTTCGGCTTGCAGATACCATCGCCCTGCGCAAGCGCAGGGAACAGGCAGGTCTATTCTAATGTGATCTGTCCCCACGACAAGGGATCACTAGAAGGATTGGAAGATTAAGGAGCCAGTTCGAAAAAGCACCAGAGGCTATGAACATGAGGGTTTAACCCTCTTCGACACGTCTCTTCGGTGCTAAAAACTAGCCACACTGTCTTAAAACTTCCTCATGCCTGCGATCTTAGAAGCACTTGCGGTGCACGATAGTAGGGCCGCTCTCATCGTACTCACCCTTGGAGATCCACATCTGCTGGAAGGTGCTCAGGGAGGACAAGATGGAGCCTCCAATCCACACGCTGTACTTGCGCTCCGGAGGTGCCACCACCTTGATCTTCATGGT